TGAAAAGAAAAAAAGTCCTTTGATCCAGAAGGATACCAAAATAAAAACAGCACGTCCTCATCTGTTGTTCTGAACATTCCCATGCTTCTATCTCTGCCCTGTGTGCCATCCTCCCTCCCCTGCCCGTACCTCGCCGACAGCATCAGGCAGGACTCAGAAGTCTCGATCTTTAGAGCATAGGGCACTTTCTCCATCACAGGGCGGCTGACCTGGAAAACCAACAGCAGCCTCCTTCAGGGACAGGCAAGTGCAGACTGGCTTCTCCCGACAGCAGATGACAGTGGGACCATGCCCACCTACTGCCATTCTCTAGCCTCAGGGCATACATTTCTGTGATGGCAGGTGCTGTCCCAGGGGCCTGGCTGTCAGCTTCATCATCCTTGGCCACTCACCCACCGCTGGGAAGGCCATGGAACATCACAGTCAAGGCCCAGCCTGGGCGACCCCAGGTGTAGTGTCATATTGGACAAGTACCTGCCCAGTGACCATGTCTCCCATGGCTTTTTCTAACAGTCTCCTTGGTGGAGCTTTTGATTCCAAAAGGGAAGGAATCTCCATGCTAAGAAAGGGCTTCCTCCTTCCCCTTCCCCACAGCAAAGCACCTATAGGATCAAGAGAGATGGCACAGTGCCTCTTATAGCTCTCCTGGCCATCCTTGCTTCTGCCCTTGTCAATGACAATACCTGTGGCTCCACTGTCCCACCTCAGTGTTTCCCTCTCTCACCTTAAGCCCGCTGCTGCACCAGAATTAACTTCCCAAAACCTCCTGCTCCTCAAAGTTCCCAATACTTCCCAAGCGTTTCCATCTTTGGGACCAAGTTACACAGAGCTAAGCCCCACACATACACCCGTGTTCACAGCAGCATTACAACAGCCAAAAGGTGGAAACCACCCAGTGTCCACTGACATGGGAACAGATAAACACGATGTGGCCTATCCACACCATAGAAGGAAACTATGACCCATGCTACAGACAATAGGGATCAATCTTGAGGACACTGTGCTAAGTGAAACAAGTCTAGGATCAATACTGTGTGACTCCATTCATTCGAGGTACCGAATAGTCAAATTCATGGAGACAGAATGGAACGGTGGGTGCCAGGGGCTGGGAAGGAGAGGGGAATGGGGAGTCAGTGTTGAATGTGGGCAGTTTCAGTCTGGAAAGGAGAGGAAAGGGTTCTGATATGGATAGTGGTGCTCGACGCACAGCAGTGTAAATATGCTTAGTGCCACAGAACTGTACATTTAAAAATGGTTACTTTTAAAATGGTATGTGTATTTTACCACAATTTAAAAATTAACGGACACCTACTTGTTCTCCCAACTCAGGCCCTTCCTTATGCAATATCCTCCTCATAGGATGCTCCTCCCTCCCTTCCTTCCTGATCCAACCAAATATTAACCACTCTATGGATTCAGTCCCCTCCTCCTGGAAGCCCTCCATCCCCCTCCCCTCTCCCTGCGCAACTTACAGCACAAACCTGCTGTAGCCCAACTCTGTCCGCAGGCCTCCCTCTTCCAGCTGGTCTGGGTGCTCCTAAGAGCAGGATGCCATCCCCCTCTCTCCTGGGGTCTCCTTGTCCCCCAACCCCAGGGTGCCTAGCACCAGACACTTACCTTCATGTTGGCCACAGGCAATGTGTTCTTCAGCCGGTACTTCCCATCCTTCTGGGGATAGGTGTACAGGAGCACATCGTTCATCTAGAGAGAGAGAAACACTGTTAGAGGCCCTGGCCCCAGAAGGCTGTGCCAGGCTTCTGCCCTCAAAAGATCCCTGAGCTCCGGTGTGCACAGGCATTTTGCATTCCTCAGTTACCTCACAGGTGAGCAAAAACATTGTGGGGAAAACGTGAGCCCCTTCCCTGCCACTCCACTCCTAGTTTGATGCTCGAGAGGAATGCATGCACATACCCTCAAGTCATGTGTGAGAATGTTCACAGTGGCTTTATTTGTAACAGCCAAAAAGTGGGGACAATTCCAATATCTGTCTGCGGGTGAATGGATAAACAAACTGTGGTCTATCCATACCACAGAATGCCTTCTAGCAACGGGAAGGAGCACCCTGCCAATGCACACCACCACATGGATACATCTCAAAATCATGCTGAATGAAGAAGCCAGGCACAAGAGAGTATATGCTGTTTGATGACATTTCTATGACATTCCAGAACAGGCAGAGCTAATCTAAATACGGACAGAAGTCAGGCCAGTGAGTGACGGGGGCCCTCGGGGTTGGGAGAAATCAACTGCAAACAGGCACAGAGGAACTTTTTGGTGGCTGGAAATGTTCCATATCTTGACCTAGGTGGTGGTTACACTGTGATATACACTTGTCAGTACCAACTAACACATATGCTTAAGATTGATACATTTCACTCTATAAAAATTAAAGCTCCATAAAGTAGAAGGAGTGAAAGCTAAGGAAGGGTGGGGAAGACACCTTGAGGAGAAGGAAGTGGTGGGCCTTGCTTGCTGCTATACTTCCAGTCCCCTGCACGGAGTAGGTGGCTCAATTAATATTTATTGAATGAACAACTAAAGCTCCTCCCACATCAGGGCAGACAGACTTAATGAAAGTCACTTTATCTCCTTAGGAGAGACTATTTCTGGTTAGCTAAATGGTTTCAGGTGTGAGAAGAGGAAGGAATCACGCTCAGGGTTGTAAATCCTGACCATGTTATGGTCCAGCGTTGAGACTTGACCAAGCCCTTTCCTTGGCTGAGTCTCAGCTTCCTCTCGGAAATGGGAGAAACCACCACCATTACCTTATCAGGGACACAGAGAGAATGCCCTCTCCATAGGTGGCCAAGATGAACCAAGGGTGAGCCCTCTTCACTGGGGCCAAATGAACCAGAATAAGCCCACCAAACATGGAGCCAACAGGAACCAGGGTGAGCCCTGGACACATGGCACCAACAAGAACGAGGGAGAGCTCTCTCCACATGGCGCCAACACGAACCAGGGAGAGCCCTCTCCACATGGCGCCAACACGAACCAGGGAGAGCCCT